TGACCTCTTGGTGCATGGGTTGACGCTCAACCACTGAGACACACCAGCCAGGCTTGTTTTGTAGTTGATATTAGAGAGGGAGGAAAGGAAAGAGAGGGAGGGAGGGAGGGAAACAGAGAGAGAGACAGAGATAGAGACATTGATTAGTTGCCTCCTGCATGGAGCCCTGACCAGGGATTGAACCCACAACCTAGGCATATGCTTGAATGAGAATTGAACTCTTGACCTTCTGGTACACAGATGACACTCCAATCAAGTGTGCCACACTAGCCAGGGCTCATTGTGGTTTTAATTTGCATTTCCCTAATAACTAATGATATTGAGATATTTTTATATGCTTATTAGCCATTTGTGTATCTTTTTTTAAAATTGAATTTATTGGGGTTACATTGGTTAATACAATTATTTTGAATATTTCATGCCAGTCTCTTCTGTCCTGAAGTGTTTCTGTTGAGTAATCAGCTGACAGCCTTATGGAAATCCCCTTTAGGTAACTGTCTTTCTCTTGCTGCTCTTAAGATTCTCTCTTTATTTTTAACCTTTGCCATTTTAATTATGATGTACCTTGATATGGGCTTCTTTGGGTTCATCTTGTTTGAGACTGTGCTTCCTGGACTTGTGTGTCGTTTTCCTTCACCAGATTAGGGAAGTTTTCAGGCATTATTTCTTCAAACAGTTTTTTGATCCCTTGCTCTCTCTCTTTGGCACTTCTATGATGTGGATGTTGCTATGCTTGATATTATCCCAGAGGTACCTTAGACTTTCCTCAATTTTTGAAATGTTTCCTTTTTTGCTGCTTAGGTGTTTTCTATTACCTTGTCCTCTAAATCGCTGATTTGATTCTCTATTTCACCTAACCTGCTGTTGATTCCTTCTGGTGTATTCTTCCTTTCAGATATTGTGTTCTTTATTTCTGACTTTTTAAATGATTTCTATGTCCTTTTTCATGTTTACTCTCTCTTTCTTGAAGTTCTCACTGAAATCATTCATTATTCCCCTAAGGTCCTTGAGCATCATTTATAACCATTTAAACTCTGCATCTGGTATCTTGGTTGCTTCCATTTGCATTTAACTCTTTTTCTGGGGATTTCTCCTGTTCTTTCATTTGAGATGTGTTTCTTTGGGTCCCTATTCTGTCTGCCTTTTTGTGTTTTTCTCTGTGTATTAGGTTGATCTTCTACAACTCCCAAACTTGTTATGGTGGTTTTATGTTTTAGGTGTCCTGTGGGGCTTCATGGCGCAATCTTCCAGATCACCTGAGCTAGGTGCTCCAGGTGATGTGCGCCCTCCTGCTGTAGTTGAGTTTGAATGCTGTTGGCTTATTCATGCGTGAGGTTAACCTTTAGGCTGGCTGCCTATAAGGATAGACCTTGATCACAGTGTGGGAGTCGCTGTATGGGGGCTGCCGCCTGAGGTGGAGTTGTTTCTGGCAGGGTCTGGAGCCTGCTAGGATCTCCCTTTGGGTGTGCCCCTTATGTGGTTAGTTGGGCCAAGCTCTGGTGTGGTCTGAAGCCCACCACTGGTTGTGTTGATTTTGAGTCCACTTGGGCGGAGTTTTGGTGTAGGTTGCTGTCAGACACTGCCTGTAACTAGCCTTGGGCCACCTGTCTGGAGCTACCACATAATTCGTTGCTTGTGGCTGCCTCTACTGGGCCTGGGTGTGTGTGGGTTGTATATCTTCTTAAGTGATCTTTACTTTAAATCTTTTATCTATTTTTGCCTGTGTTGATTATCTTATTGCAGTACAAGAGTTCTCTGCATATTCTGGAAACAAGTCCTGTTAGATAATGTGTTTTGCAAATATTTTCTCATACTGTGTTGCTTATCTTTTCATTTTCTTAATGGTGTCTTTTAAAGTGCTAAAGTTTTTACTTTTGGAGACGTCCAATTTATCTTTTTTTTTTCTTTTATAGACCATGTTTTTGGTGTCATATCTATAATACCTTTGCAGTTACAACTTGAAGTTCCAAAGATTTTCTGTTATCTTACAAAAGTTTTGTTTTAGCCCTTACATTTAGATCTGTGGTCCAGTCTGTGATAACTTTTGTGTATGGTGTGAAACGAAGCCTAAGCTCATCTTTTTGCACGTGGATATCCAGACTGTCAGCACCATTTACTGAAAAACTGTTCTTTCCCCGAGTCGTTTTGAAATCAGGAAGTGAAAGTCCTTCAAGTTTGTTCTTCTTTTTCAAAATTTGTTTGCTTTTCTAGGTCTTTTGTAATTTTATATAAATTTTAGGATTATTCTGTCAATTTCTACAAAAGCCTGCTGATCTTTTTGTTGTTATTAATCCTCACCTGAGGATATTTTTTCATTGATTTTTTTTTTTTAATCCTCACCTGAGGATATTTTTGCATTTATCTTCAGATAGAGCGGAAGGGAGGGAGGGAGGAAGAGAGAGAAACATCGATGTGAGAGAGACACATCAACTGGTTGCCACCCACATGACCCCAATCGGGGCCGGGGACAAACTGCAGCCAAGGTACATGCCCTTAGTGGGAACCAAACCTGGGACTCTAGTCTGTGGGCTGACGCTCTAACCACTAAACCAAACTGGCCAGGGCTGATTTTTTTTTTTTTTAGGATAAAGTGGAAAGGATTTTTTTTTTCCTGATGATGGCAGCGTAGGTAAACACGGTATCGCCTCCTCCCACAACCACATCAACATTACAACTAAATTACAAAACAACCATCATTAAAAAACACCTGAAATCTAGCTGAATGGAAGTTCTACAACCACAAAATTAAAGAAGCCCCATCAAGACTGCAATCAGGACTCAATTACAACAGAAAAGTGTAATGTCCACACAAGGGGTGCACCTCAAAGGCCCAGCTGGGAGACCTGGGAGGCTGTGCCACTGGACCCTACAGCACACCTACTATGATAGGCCACCCTCGGAATCCCAGGAGACATAGCAACTCAACCTAGTACATAGAAACAAACATGGAGGCAGCCAAAATGAGGAGACAAAGAAACATGTCTCAAATGAAAGAAAAGAACAAAACTTCAGGAAAAGAACTAAATGAAATGGAGATAAGCAATCTAACAGATGCAGAGTTCAAAACACTGTTTATAAGGATACTCAATGAACTTAGTGAGAACTTCAGGGAACTCAGTGAGGGCCTCAAGAGCATAAAAGAGGACCAGTCAGAAATGAACGATGCACTAGTGAAATAAAGAAAAATTTACAGAGATTCAGTAGTAGAATAGGTGAATCCAAGAAACAAACCATCGATTTGGAATATAAGGAAGCAAAAAACACCCAATCAGAACAGCAAAAAGAAAAATAATTTTAAAAAATGAGGGTAGTGTAAGGAGCCTGTGGGACAACTTCAAGTGTACCAACGTTTGCATCATAGGGATGCCAGAAGGAGAAGAGAGAGAGCAAGAAATTGAAAACCTATTTGAAATAGTAATGGCAGAAAACTTCCCTAATTTGGTGAAGGAAACAGACATACAAGTCCAGGAAGCACAGAGAGTCCCAAACAAGATGAACCCCAAGAGGCCCACACGAAGACACATCATCATCAAAATACAAAAGGTTCAAGACAAAGAAAGAATCTTAAAAGCAGCAAGAGAAAAGCAGCTACAAGGGAGCTCCCATAAGACTGTCATCTGATTTCTCAAAGGAAACTTTGCAGGCCAGAAGGGAGTGGCAAGAAATATTCAGAGAAATGAAAAGCAAGAACCTACAACCAAGATTACTCTATCCTGCAAAGCTGTCATTTAGAATCGATGGCCATATAAAGAGTTTCTCAGACAAGAAAAAGCTAAAGGAGTTCATAACCACCAAACCAGTATTATATGAAATGTTGAAGGGTCTTCTTGAAGAAAAAGAAGATAAAAAACATGAACAAACAAAATGGCAATAAATACGTGTCTGTCAACAATGGAATCTACAAACAAAATGAACAAGCAGAACAGAAACATTCTCATAGATACAGAGAACATTTTGTTGGTTGCCAGATGAAGGGGGGATGGGGGAATAGGTGAAAAAGGTAAAGGGATTAAGAAGTACAAATTGGTTGTTAGATTGACAAACCTCAAAGGGAAGGGGGGTGGGAGGTGGGAAGAAATAAACCAAAGAACTTATATGTATATATGCATAACCAATGGACACAGACAACAGTGTGGGAAAAGACGGGGGGGGTGGGGAGCAGAATGGAGGGGGTCAATAGGGGAAAAAGGAGGAATATTTGTAATACATTCAACAATAAAAATAAGTTTAAAAAAATAGAGTGGAAGGGAGAGGGGGAGGGAGTGGGAGAGAGAGAAACATGGAGAAACAATGACGCGAGAGAGAGACATTAATTGGTTGCCTCCCTCACAACCTCTTCCTGGGGCCAATGGAAAGGAACCTGCAACCCAGGTATGTGCCCTTGGCTGGGAATCAAACCCGAGACCCTTGAGCTTGTAAACTGTTGCTCTAACCGCTGAGCCAAACCAGCCAGGGCCCTGCAGATCTTTTAAAAAATTTCAATAGTATTAAGCCTTCTGATCCATGAATATGAGATGTATCTCTGTTTATCTAGATCATCTTTAATTTCCCTCAGCAATATTTTATAATTTTGTTTTATTTACTAACATACTTTCTGACAGAAGTAATAAATAATAGGATGATTTGTCATTGAAGTGAGTTGATGGGTGTGTCTGCTTACTTCTACTGTCATAGGGATGGGCTAAATTGATTTTCTTTCAAAGGCCCTTGTTACCTGTAGATGCGGAGGTGGTGGTTCGTGTTCGTGTGTGTGTGTGTGTGTGTGTTCCACAAATATGTTAACTGCCTGGTGAATAAGAGCTTAGATAATGGGAGGGAGATTTTAAAAAATTGAGTGCAAAAATATAAATGTATATATTTTAAAATAAGTTAAAAGACCTGACCAGTAGGGAACAATTCACAGCATGCCATCCATGAGAAAGAACATGTTGCTCATTAGAACTCCCAAACTGGCCTCCTTCAGGATAGAATCTAATGCTTCCCGAAATCCTTTCTCCCAGGCAGATGTGTGCCACGCCTACCAGATCGTGCACCGCAATGGGGTTCCCGACGAGCAGATCATCGTGATGATGTACGACGACATTGCCAACTCTGAAGAGTAAGTACCGAGTGCTTTCATTGGTGGACTCCTTAGATCAGAGTCCTAACATTAGGATGTAAACAGATTTGCAGATGAAATGTCACAGGGCTGCTTCACATAGAGCCTTGAGCATAACTCGGGGCACCCTGGCAGTGGCAGGGACACGGGCAGTGGGTGCTGCAGGGGTTTGGGGCTGGTGCTTTGGAAGTGTTGAAAGCCTAATAAGCTCCTCAGCCTGGAGAACTCCTCATTGGGTTCTGCAGTGCTGTTCCTAACCTCTGAGCAGGTGGGCAGCACAGAGGGGACCCCCCCTCTGCAACCTGTATGTAGAAGACTCGTTAATAGGTTGGATCCCACCATCCTTTATATACCTGTTTACTTTTATTATTTGTTGAATTTAATTTGGCAAATAGTTCTCTCATGCCTGCTTATCTGATTTTTGGAGGAGATCAGGAACAGCAAGATGGGCAAACTTAACCAGTGGGAGCCTCCCCAGCTCCTCCTCACCCTGCTGTGGCCCCTGTGAAGGCTGCTGACCTTTCCTGAGCTCACAAGACAGCTCGTACTCCATTCTGAGCTCTAACGCCTACGCTCTCATATTCAAGTCTTATCTGCCGTCCTGTCTTTTCTTTTTTTTCTTTATTGATTTTTTTTTTTTAGATAGTAAGGGAGAGGGAGAGAGAGATAGAAACATCTATGAGTGAGAACATTGACTGGCTGCCTCCTGCACGCCCCCCACTGGGGATCGGGCCCACAACCTGGGCATGTGCCCTGACCAGGAATCGAACCAGTGACCTCTTGGTGCATGGGTCGATGCTCAACCACTAAGCCGCACCTGCTGGGCTTCGACAAGTAGTTTTGCTCTGAGAGATCTTTTTGTGAGATCTAGCCCCCGAGATGTTGTGCGGTTTCCAGCAGAGGCCAGGCACACCTGGGGTTTGGTCCCTGTCCTGAGTGTTTGAACTGCTCCTGCCAAGATCTTGACTTGTGGTATGACAGACCTCCAAGCTGCTAAAATCACTAATCCTTGGTGACCGCGTGGGTGATGAGCATTGTCTCAGACAAACATGGTCAATTACTATTTGTATGCTTAACAAGGACATAGTTTTGAAGAGGGAGATTTCAGAGACATGTCAGAGTTTGGGCTTCAGTTGTGTCCTTTGATTTCAGCAACCCCACTCCAGGAGTTGTGATCAACAGGCCCAACGGCTCGGATGTGTACAGTGGAGTCCTGAAGGACTACACCGGGGAGGTGAGCGGCCCGCAGCGTCCGTGCCGGCGGCATTTAATCCCGTTTTTGTGATGATTTGTCCCTCTTTTATGCATTTCTAACACCAGAACCCTAACTAGACTGATTTCTGATTAGTGTCTCATGTTTATATTAGGATTTGTGCTTGAGAAGTAATTTTTGAGAGTTTTGATAGAAAGCAGGGGGAAAAAAATAAAGTAGGAATAAGTTTGTAGTTTACCAATCTTTAGTTCCCAGTCTTCTTTTCTCGGCACCAGCCCTGTGCAGAGCATCTTCAGATCTTGCTGAGATGGTTTTTCACTTATTATTATTGTCATATATCACTTCCGAATTAATTACATCCCTCCCAGTAGACTGAGGCTGTATAAATTGACACATTTTTAACAACACCATGATGACGTCAGCCTCGTCGTTTTCAGTCTCTTTTTCCTAGTTTCAGAGGGATCTTTTAGGATCTAATGTTCCTGGTGATGAACGTTCCTCTGCAGCTCAGCAGTTCTTTCAGTGCAGTTAGATCGGACACATCATACGTGTAATGTAGATGGGCCATTTTTTATGGAACTGTTTCTGTGCAGTCTACAGGGTGGGGCAAAAGTGGGTTTATAGTGGTTTGTATGGGAAATAGTACAATAATTAATAAATAATACAAGAATAAACTGTTTCGTATTCTTACGACTATATACCTACTTTTCCCCCACCCTGTGTAGGAAATGTCGAATCTAAGTGGTGAGATTTTTGGTGCGTTCTTCCCTTTTTTTTTTTATCCTCACCTGAGGACATTTTTCCATTTTTTGTTCAGGTAGAGTGGGGAGGGGGGAACAGAGAGAGAGAGAGAAACATCGATGTGAAAGGGACACATCGAGTGGCTGCCATCCGCACAACCGACCAGGGCCGGGGACAAACTGCAACTGAGGTACGTGCCCTTAGCGGGAACCGAACCCGGGTCTCTCAGGACCGCAGGCCGACGCTCCAACCGCTGAGCCAAACCGGCCAGGGCACGTTCTTCCCCTTTTGTCTCTTCCTATATTGCTTTTTTATTTTATTTTAATGAGCGAGTATTGATTTAGAAAACCTCCTTTAAGGACATCGTATGTCCTCGGGAGCAGCCTGCAGGCAGCAGCTGGGTGCAAGGGCGTCCTGGCGCTGGGGTTCCTGCAGACCTTCCGCTGCACCCGCGGTGCTTGCAGCTCTTCCCCTGCTGCTTGTCCTGACCGGCCAGAGTCTTCCGGTTTCTCCTCATGGACATGCTGGTGGGCAGGGAGGAATGGCAGCCTGCTGAGTGCCATCAGCCAGAGACAAGATGTAATTTGAGAAGAGGTTGTGCACACGCCCCCAGAAACAATAACCTTGATTTGGGTCTTTCTTGGTTCCAAAGTGTTTGCTTTTAAACCTCGGGCCTTGGAGATGTGTGAGCTGGTGGCCCTGGTCTGCTGCAGACGCTCTGATTTGGAATGACACATCTGATTTTAACTCCCAGTTCTTTGTAGGATGTGACACCGCAGAATTTCCTTGCTGTGTTGAGAGGTGATGCAGAAGCAGTGAAGGGCAAAGGATCTGGAAAGGTCTTGAAGAGGTAATGTTGACTTGCTTTACGGCCATCACACTTTTCTGAATGACCTGGCTCTCAGCTCGTTCACCCGTGGGAACCAGCAGAGTGGGGACCTCTGTCCCAGCTTAAGGCAGGCTGCACCGGTGGGTGGCTCCTCTCGGCAGCCCACTTCCACGCCACGTTGACCCTGTGACACAGGGCTCCCCATCACCTGCACCTGCTGCTTTTGTTGTCCTTGGACCCTGGTGCTGAGCATCCTACGGCCCGTGGGGCATCCCGACAGGTGTGAAGCCCTGCCGCTGGTCAGGCCACGGGGCCCAGGCCTGCCGCCAGCCTCGTGCTCTGATCACAGGTCAGCGCGGTGGGGAGGGGCACGGAGCTAACCTTGGTACTGGGAAAACTGACAGCAGTGCGTGCCCTGCTGGCTGGGTTAGAGATGTGTTGTTTAGCTTCTCTTTGTGTAGTATTTTTATATGACGGCAGGGTCTTTAGTAGCATGCCTTCAGAGAGTCAGGTACTTGGCAAATGGTGCTGTTTCTCTCACACTAGAGGGGAGACCTGGGCACAGGTGAGCTCGTGTGAGTTAGAGCAGAGGCGGACATCTCTGTGGGATGAACCAAATTGGTTCCATGTGAGTTATTGCATCTCTGCAACCTTGGAGCAGCGCCCTGAGTGGAAGCCCCGGCGAGGGTGGGCAGGTGGGTGTCCTCTGTGCAGGCCGAAGGGCCCAGAGAGGAAGCTGGCGCTGCAGGACAGGTTTGGGTATGAGTCCTGGTGCCCTTACTCATTTGGGGGACATCCGGTTGGAGAGTATGGCTGCCTGGGATGAGGCCCAATTGCCAGAGAAACCCCCTCCATGTCACCCTGGTCTGTCTGCTGACCTGCCCAGCCATGGCAGCTCCCGGCCATGACTCAGTCTTGAGGCTCTAGAATATGCCTCGTGGCTCAGAATGACTTTGTGCCTGGTTGGGAGACTAATCCTCAAATTTCTTAGTGTTTTTTGGCAAGGGCAACTTTTCAGAGAAATGCAAGTAGAGATAGAGATAGGGAACGGTCGGCTCTGACTCGTCTGTCGTTCTCGCTTGGCAGCGGCCCGCAGGATCACGTGTTCGTTTACTTCACTGACCACGGAGCTCCCGGCCTGCTGGCCTTCCCTGACGATGATGTGAGTGGACATTCGAAGGACAAACCAGAATGGAAACAAAACCTCGGTGGTGACATTAGATCTGTGATGTGGGCTTCTGATGTCCCACCAGGGTGGTGTGTGGGGGATGATACACATTTAGCAGCTTTAAATCTGTGCAGAGGCATCTCTTCCGGCCATTTTCCCTACATTCTCCTCATATCAGAGCATCAGTGAGTCAGGACTGGGGGCCTTGCACGAGGCACAGTGATAGAATTCTGTCCCTGATGCTCTGGACGCGTAAGAAGTGAGGACAAGTGTTCTGCTTCAGATCTGTGTGTAAAACCCTTGGGATGACATGCTGGGATAGTGCAGTTCACTACTGTTATTTCCGGGGATTGGTAAATAAGAATTTTAAAGCATCATTAGGAATTTATTGTGGGTTATTCGACAAATGGTTTCTCTTGAGGTCTTGATCTGAATGCCAATATTCTTACCTTCTAGCTTCATGTAAAGGACCTGAATGAGACCATCCAGTACATGTACAAACACAAAAAGTACCAAAAGGTAACGTCAGCATTTGGAGTGGCCTTGGGGGAGGAGTATGCGGAAGGCAGCGGGAGCAGGGCCCGCCGTTCGGCCACTGGCCATCTGGGTGGCTGTGTTGTCTGGAAAGGGTGTCCTTCCGTCAGTCTGGTTTCCCAGGATTAACCTTTTCTGATCCTCGGGCTTGAGCTAGTTGATCAGAGTCACTGGGAATCTTGTTACGACAAAGAGTGTGGGTTCCACCCCCAGAGTTTGATGCAGAGGTCTGGGGAGAGGCCTGAACATTTGCCTTTCTGAGTTGACCCCGATGCTGCTGGGCTAGGGACCGTATTTTGAGGACTACTGTTCCGAGGACTGTCACCAATGTCAGGCGGTTGTGGAAGAAAACATCACCCTCTTATACTTTCACCTTGGCCCTCGCTCACCCCGGAGCACCCTTCACAGAACGTGCGGAGCTCAGGCAGGTCCATGACGGTGTGTGGACGGATGGCCTGACGCAGTCTCCCGGGCCGGACAGGGCCAGTTTGCGTCCGCCTCGCCTGGCGCTCCATTTTCTCTGCATTATTTCGGCTAATAGATCATTTATTCTATTAGGGATGAATAAATTCGAGTTCTTCTGGTTTGTGTGAGAACAGCTTCTGTAGCCTCTGGCAACAGCCTCTGACGGCAGAGATGTCTCCCAAAGCAAAAGCCAAAGTAGCATTGGCTTGGCCGAGGTGTGAGCCCACTGTCTCGTTCACCTCGCAGATGGTGTTCTACATCGAAGCCTGCGAGTCTGGGTCCATGATGAGACTGCTGCCCACCGACATCAATGGTAGGTGTGGGAGCCCGGCCTCTGAGCCATGCTGGGGTGCAGTTGGTCATTCTCCGACTCTGCCAACGCAAAGAACCAAGCACTCTACCTAAGTGGGGGTCTAGTGCAGCCTGGTACAGAGAAGTAGGGAGCTAGGTGTAGGGAGCTTCGGGCCCCCTCCACTCCTCGAGGGCTAGTGGCCAGAGAAGGAATCTGCATGTGAGTGTCACAGCTCGTCCAGGTTCTTGTAAAGCTCCTTGGGCCCCAAATCACAGTCTTTGCACTGGCCTCAGTCCTCTGTGGCCTGTGCTTGCTGGCTCTGACCTTGGGCAGGTGACTTACCCCCTTGGACCCTCAGGTATTCCCACCTATAAAATGAGTATAACGATAGTACCTGTTTATCTTTTTTTTTTTAATCCTCACCTGAGGGTATTTTTTCTATTTATCATCAGATAGACGTGGGGGGGGGGAGGGGGGAAGAAACATCAAGAGAGATACATCAACTGGTTGCCTTCCGCATGACCTGACCAGGGCCGGGGACAAACTGCAGCCGAAGTACATGTCCTTGACCGGAATCAAACCCGTGACTCATCCGAGGGCCGATGCTCTAACCACTGGGCTAAACTGGCCAGGGCCCTGTTTATCACTTTGAGTGATAACATTTGTCAAGCACAGTTCTGAGCCCATGGAAGCTAGATCGGAAATGGTCGCTATTGTGTAGGTTCAGTCTGTTTCTTCTGCAAATGTTAACTTTCTCCAGAAACTGAATGAGGTACCTGTTCTGCCAGTTGCCAGAGCTGTTGAAATCTTGCAGCATTATTCAGGTTCTACTGAGCATGTGTGCTTGCTTATTGCTGTACGAAGTGTCTGTCACCTGGCTTCTCTTTCTTCCTTGTGCTGTTTTAGTTGCGTTATCGTAACAGCGAATAGTGCTGGGCACAGCGACATCTCCCACCCTCCCTGTGCTGCCTGTAGTTGGAACTTTGCACCAGGAAGGAAGGGAAGACTCAAGCTTCAAGTGGAATCCACAGCAGAGAATAAAATGTGGCTAAAAGGTGTCTTTAATTCCTCGTAGTTTATGCAACTACTGCCGCCAATCCCAAGGAGTCATCCTACGCCTGTTACTACGATGAGCAGAGGTCCACGTACCTGGGGGACTGGTACAGCGTCAACTGGATGGAGGACTCAGATGTGGTGAGGCCTTCAGGGGCCGGCTGTCCAGGTGGGGCTTAACCTTCAGGCTCGGATGGCTGAAGGACTTGACTTGTTCTTGCAGGAGGACTTGACCAGAGAGACTCTCCACAAGCAGTATCAGCTGGTGAAGTCCCACACCAACACCAGCCACGTCATGCAGTATGGGAACAAGGTGAGTCAGCAGCCTTGCGCGCCGTTCAGTTCTAGTCCCTGCGACGCGCCTGGAGCACTACGTCTTGGTGAAGAGAAGCAGGATCCGGGTGAGAAATGGCGGGGGCAGGGATGGTTCTGCCTCTCTCGGCCACTCCGTCCTGGGGACCCTGTTTGGGTTTTGGAATCAGACCTTGCTAGGTTCAAATTGGTGAAGTCGTGAGACTTTGGGCAAACTACTTAACCCCCTGAATCTCCGTTTTCTCCATGGTCAGAGCCCTTGTGCACAAGGTAATTAGGGGCATTAAAGAAGGTTGCATGCCCTGGGTGGTTTGGCTTAGTGGTTAGAGCACCGGCCTGCAGACTGAAGGGTCACAGGTTTGATTCCCGGTGAAGGGCACGTACATGGGTTCAATCCCTGGCCCTGGTTGGGGTTGTGCAGGAGGCAACCAATCACACATTGATGTTTCTCTCTCTCTTTCCCTTCCTCCCACTCTATCTAAAAAAATAAAATAAAATAAATTAATGGAAAAATATCCTTGGGTGAGGATTAAAGAAGGCTGCATATCAAAACCACTAGCCGTAGGCCAGGCACACAGTGAGAGAGGTTCCTCATTTGGAACCTCTGTGAAATGGCCCCATAGAACCCACGCCTTGGATTATCCAGGTCCTGCCTCCCTCTGCAAGTTGCAGGGTGTTACCTTTACCCTTTGGCTGTAAATGAGAGGCTTTTCCCCCTTCCAGCTCTGCCCAGCTCTGCCCAGAAGGGACCTAGGTAGTTAAATAGGTACGTTGATCAGGGCTGTCTAGACGAAGTTGCAGCAGGTGGCTGGAGACTTGGGCCGTAGGTGGCTCCCCTGTGGTTTAGCTCTGCCCATCTCAGTGGACCCAGACCTCAGCTCTGTCCTGAACAGATGCTCTGCACCTTCCTACTGCTGGCCACGAGGGACAGGTGGTGAGCATGGAGGGTGAGCACAACCCAGGTGTCCCCCCTCCGCGTGACTGTGAGCAGCGGTTGCCTGTCGTGAAAGACTAGCAGTTCTGCTGCAGAGACGCCAGGTGTTGCTGACGCGCGTCAGTGCTGGATTTCAGGTGCTCGAACGTATTGCCTCACCCACTGTTGGCAGGTGTTTTCAGGCTGCAGGTGTGGCCCTGCAGTGGCCCTGAAGCCATGTGGAGTGAGCTGGGAGCCTCCAGGACCCAGGGCACATACGGTTGGCACATCTGCTCTTCCCACTCCAACCAGCTTTCTTTGTCTTTCTCCCTCCAGACCATCTCTACCATGAAGCTGATGCAGTTTCAGGGTGTGAAACACAAAGCCAGTTCTCCTATCTCCCTGCCTCCTGTCCAGCACCTTGACCTCACTCCAAGTCCTGAGGTGCCCCTCATGATCATGAAGAGGAAGCTGATGCAGACCAATGATCTGCAGGAGTCCAGGCGCCTTGTCGACCAGATCCAAAGGCACCTGGAGGTAGGTCCTGGTCAGGTGCTGCTCCCGCCCCGGGAGCTCGTCCTTGGTCTCCTGGACGTTATCCAGCGCCGCTCAGAGCCAGGACACAGGACTGGGGTCACCCCTCCGCCTGCCACAGGAGAGTGCGGGAAAGGACTCTGGCCTTTGTTTCTGTGTGCGTGGATGCCAGCGAGCAGGGCAGAGGTGGTCTTTGCGCATTGCAGTCGGGCCATTTCCTGTATCCTGCCAACAGACCACGCATATGGGCGCTTTCTTTTCTTTTATACCTAGTTATTAGCTAACCATATATATATTCAAAATCCAATCTACAAAAAATGTCTGCTATCTCAGGAAGTCATAGTCAGAGCCTAAAGTTCTTCTGAAAATGCTTGGGTTGTCCTTCACGACGACCGGGCTTGTTTTCAGTAGTGCAGCCGTTTGTTCAGAACTGGCAGGGTTACTTGTCCAGTTACAGCTGGGCGGTGAGCACCAGCAGGCGCACCAGGTGCTGGCGAGCTACTGTCCCTGCCGGCGGAGCCCCTGTGAACTGTCCCCGTGTCAGCACAGCACAGGGGCTGCTGTGCCGAGGAGATGGCCCGAGATTTCCGGGGAAGATAAAAATCTGAGTGATCTGTTTGAAATTCATATACAAGGTGGGGCAAAGTAGCCTTACAGTTGTGAGTACACAAAACAGAGTTCATTCTTACATTATTATTGATTAACCCACTTTCCCGCACCCAGTAGCTAATAGTCCTGACAGTGAGCTGGGCTGTCTGCAGTGGGGTACCCGCCAGGCCGTGTTGCTGTTGGTGCGCAGTGTGATGGAGCAGTTCTCCCACGCTCTGAGCCTGAGACCTGTTCCTACTCTTAAAATTACTCACACCAGAGAGCTAATGTTTATGTGGGTTGTGTCAGTATTTCCTGCTTTAGAAATGAACACTGAGATTTAAAAAGTATTAACTCATTTAGAAATGACAATAATAAACCCATTTTGTATTAATGTATTTTTTAATACGTTTTCTTTTATTCTTACCTGAGGATATTTTTCCATTTATCTTCAGATGGAGGGGGAGGGGCGGGGAGAGAGAGAGAAACATCAATGCGAGAGAGACATCGACTGGCTGCCTCCCACAGAACCCCAACCAGAGCCGGGGACAAACTGAAACCAAGGTACATGCCCTTGAGCAGAATCGAACCCGCGACTCTTTCGTTCCTGGGCTGATGCTCTAACTGCTGAGCCAAACCAGCCAGGGCTAATGTACTTTTTACGAAAACTAACCATTTTCTCTGAGCCAGCCTTGGTGGGAAGAGTGGCGTCACGTGACGTTTTGGCCAGTCTCTCCTGCCCAGTCATGAAAGTCAGCCGGGCCCTCGTGCCGCTCTGCACCCGTGCGGGGCTGTGCTCCGGCCGAGGGGGACAGGAAGGCCCAGCCTCACACACTGACGTAGGAGCCCGGAGAGGTCTCGGGGACCCCGTACTTCGGGACCCCATGCATCGAGAAGCAGCAGTCGACACGGTGGCCGCGAGCCTTCCTGGCCTTCGGGCCCGGGGGCGGTGGTTACACATTTTGGCTAGTGAAGCAGAGTCCTCCGAATGATGTTGGTTTTCTTCATCTGGGAGGATAGTGTCCTCTTGTGTCCCTCTGTGGGACCGTTGGTGGTTTCTAGGATGAGCAAAGATGCCTGTGAACACCGCACCATTATGGGACACTACCGACTTGGGGTGCACTTTCTATCCCCCTTTCCTCGGAGTGGGCCACGCACGCCTGCTCCTCAGGTATGTGGGTTCAGTGTGTGCGTCGTGCCAGGAGAGCCCGCCAAGGCCCGGCACTGCTCAGGGTTTCCAGGGTCACGGAGCCTCTGCCGGTCACTTGTCTTCTGCAGGACATACCCGTCGGCGTCCATTTAAACGCACAGGGCTGGGGCTGTGCGGAGCAGCTTCCAGTCCATCCAGGGTCCCAAGCGAGGCCTCGTTAAGTAAGAGACATTTGAAAAGGTGTGTTTCTTCCCAGAGCAGGAACATTATGGAGAAGTCAGTGCATAAGATCGTGTCCTGGATCACGGGGTCGGATGACGAGACGGAGAGGATCCTGACTGAGAGAGCCCTGCTCACGGAGCACACCTGCTACCAGGCCGCCGTGTCCCACTTCCGCACACACTGCTTCAACTGGCACTTGCCCACGGTAAGCCGGCCGCGTGTCCCACTCCGTGCACACTGCTTCAACTGGCACTCGCCCACGGTAAGCCGGCCGCGTGTCCCACTCCACGCACACTGCTTCATCTGGCACTCCCCCACGGTAAGCCGGCCGCGTGTCCCACTCCCCCACGGTAAGCCAGCCGCGTGTCCCACTCCCCCACGGTAAACCGGCCGCGTGTCCCACTCCGCGCACACTGCTTCAACTGGCACTCCCCCACGGTAAGCCGGCCGCGTGTCCCACTCCCCCACGGTAAGCCGGCCGCGTGTCCCACTCCCCCACGGTAAGCCGGCCGCGTGTCCCACTCCGCGCACACTGCTTCAACTGGCACTCGCCCACGGTAAGCCGGCCGCGTGTCCCACTCTGCGCACACTGCTTCAACTGGCACTCGCCCACAGTAAGCCGGCCGCGTGTCCCACTCTGCGCACACTGCTTCAACTGGCACTCGCCCACGGTAAGCCGGCCGCGTGTCCCACTCTGCGCACACTGCTTCAACTGGCACTCGCCCACGGTAAGCCGGCCGCGTGTCCCACTCTGCGCACACTGCTTCATCTGGCACTCCCCCACGGTAAGCCGGCCGCGTGTCCCACTCCCCCACGGTAAGCCGGCCGCGTGTCCCACTCCACGCACACTGCTTCAACTGGCACTCCCCCACGGTAAGCCGGCCGCGTGTCCCACTCTGCGCACACTGCTTCATCTGGCACTCCCCCACGGTAAGCCGGCCGCGTGTCCCACTCTGCGCACACTGCTTCATCTGGCACTCCCCCACGGTAAGCCGGCCGCGTGTCCCACTCTGCGCACACTGCTTCAACTGGCACTCCCCCACGGTAAGCCGGCCGCGTGTCCCACTCCGCGCACACTGCTTCAACTGGCACTCCCCCACGGTAAGCCGGCCGCGTGTCCCACTCCGCGCACACTGCTTCAACTGGCACTCCCCCACGGTAAGCCGGCCGCGTGTCCCACTCCGCGCACACTGCTTCAACTGGCACTCCCCCACGGTAAGCCGGCCGCGTGTCCCACTCTGCGCACACTGCTTCATCTGGCACTCGCCCACGGTAAGCCGGCCGCGTGTCCCACTCCGCGCACACTGCTTCAACTGGCACTCGCCCACGGTAAGCCGGCCGCGTGTCCCACTCCACGCACACTGCTTCATCTGGCACTCGCCCACGGTAAGCCGGTCGCGTGTCCCACTCTGCGCACACTGCTTCATCTGGCACTCCCCCACGGTAAGCCGGCCGCGTGTCCCACTCTGCGCACACTGCTTCATCTGGCACTCCCCCACGGTAAGCCGGCCGCGTGTCCCACTCTGCGCACACTGCTTCAACTGGCACTCCCCCACGGTAAGCCGGCCGCGTGTCCCACTCTGCGCACACTGCTTCATCTGGCACTCCCCCACGGTAAGCCGGCCGCGTGTCCCACTCTGCGCACACTGCTTCAACTGGCACTCCCCCACGGTAAGCCGGCCGCGTGTCCCACTCTGCGCACACTGCTTCATCTGGCACTCGCCCACGGTAAGCCGGCCGCGTGTCCCACTCCGCGCACACTGCTTCAACTGGCACTCGCCCACGGTAAGCCGGCCGCGTGTCCCACTCCACGCACACTGCTTCATCTGGCACTCGCCCACGGTAAGCCGGCCGCGTGTCCCACTCCGCGCACACTGCTTCAACTGGCACTCGCCCACGGTAAGCCGGTCGCGTGTCCCACTCTGCGCACACTGCTTCATCTGGCACTCCCCACGGTAAGCCTGGCCGCGTGTCCCACTCTGCGACACTGCTTCATCTGGCACTCCCCCACGGTACGCCGGCCGCGTGTCCCACTCTGCGCTACACTGCTTCAACTGGCACTTCCCCCACGGTAAGCCGGCCGCGTGTCCCACTCTGCGCACACTGCTTCATCTGGCATCCCCCACGGAAGCCGGCCCGCGTGTCCCACTCTGCGCACACTGCTTCAACTGCACTCCCCCACGGTAAGCCGGTTCACGCGTGTCCCACTCTGCGCACACTGCTTCATCTGGCACTCGCCCACGGTAAGCCGGCACGCGTGTCCCACTCAGCGCACACTGCTTCATCTGGCACTCCCCCACGGTAAGCCGGCCGCGTGTCCCACTCTGCGCACACTGCTTCATCTGGCACTCCCCCACGGTAAGCCGGCCGCGTGTCCCACTCTGCGCACACTGCTTCATCTGGCACTCCCCCATGGTAAGCCAGCCGCGTGTCCCACTCCCCCACGGTAAGCCGGCCGCGTGTCCCACTCCGCGCACACTGCTTCAACTGGCACTCCCCCACGGTAAGCCGGCCGGGCACTGTTCCCTGCTGCCTTGACCGGACGCCAAACCCACACTGTCCACTGGAACCTTGGGGAAGGTTCCACCAGGCTAAGGAGGAAACTGGGCCTTCGACAGGCATGGGAGGAAGGAGGTTGTCCAAACTCGGGACCATAAATGCCGCCCTGGTCACTCTCAGCTGTCCCCGTGGATAGGAGCTTACCAATCGTAGGTGACTCCACTCCCATCCTCTTATACTTGTGTCCCTGCCACACCCCGCCCCTCGCCCCTCCCCGTCACACCAGCCACACAGGTTTTTCTCCCTTTTGGATTTCTTCTGGCTCCTCCCCACGGTTGGTGAAGGCAGGCCCTGGCCTTTGGAGGAGGAGGTGTCCGGTTTCTGTAGATGGTGGCGTGTCAGGGTGGAAGGTCCCTGACAGGTTTCCTCTTTGGTCAGTGCTGTGTGATGCTTGGATCCTTCCTGGAAAGGGTCAGCAAACTGGCCCACAGGTCAGGGCCTGTCTGTCCAAGCCTTTTCTAAATGAAGTTTTATTGGAACGCAGCCACATTTACGTGGTCCCATCGTGTCTGGCTGCTTTCACAGTTGAGTGTTTCATCCAGCCTGTAGACTAAATATTTGCTTATCTGGCTCTTGACAGCGAACGGCTGCCCGCACCTGCTTTAGGGCTGTGCTCTTCAGCGTGGCAGCACTGGCCTCGTGCGGCTACTTCAATTCAAATTTAAATTCATTCACATGAAGTTAATTTTATTAATGAAATTTAATTAAATAAATTAAATGCACTGGCGGCATTTCACGTGGTCCGTAGCCAGAGCCGGCCAGTAGCTCCTGACTGGAGGGCCTCGTAGACGTTTCTGTCGTTGCAGAAGGGTCCACGGGCTGTGACGTGCGCCGTGGTCACGTGGACTCCCAAGGCTGGCGTCCTGGCCACTGTGGGCCTAGCTCTCCGTTATTAGGAAGCTTTTAGCTTCTCATTTATTTAACAAAGTGTTTTCCTTACTTACTTAATAAGAGTAAAATTTCCCACTTATTGAATGGGTACTGTATTGTTTTGGGAATACTTTTGTGCCTTTGGACTTTCTTCCTTTTCCTCATGAGAGTTCTCATTCTGCTGAAGTTTTTTTGTCAAGATAAGGTGAGCATCCCCAATTATTTTGGTCTTAACCTGTTAGGGTCCAGTTTGGGGTCACTTACCATCCGTCTCCCTCATCAGTGTGTCCCTCCCGGAATGAGAGTCCAAGGAACAAAGGCAGATGGCCGGGGAGGTGCCCCGCACCAGAGGCGCAGGGCCGTGGGAGGGTGCTCTTGGGCCTGCCCGCCCCCTGGGTGTACTTGGGGAGGGGTCATAAATCTTGCCAGATTATCTAAAGGCGGGGAGGAGGTCCATGACCCAAAAGAGGTCAAGAATCACTGTTCAAGATGCTTCGTCTCTGTGACCACAGAAGTGGGATATTCCCAAGTTAAGAGTTGACTGTATGATGCAGTGATGGTTCTGATTGTGTCTTTTGGTCCATTTCCCTCCAGTACGAGTATGCTCTGAGACATCTGTATGTGCTGGTCAACCTTTGTGAAAAACCCTATCCACTTGACAGGTGAGTCAGCACATGGCATTGGACGGGCAGGGCCACCGGAAGCAGAAGGCCAAGCATTGCTCTCCTTGCCTGCCACAGGGCAGCCTGGCTGCTGCTCCGCCTGGGGGAGCACCAGAAATAGCAGCATTCTCAGTGGGTCTGTGGAGATGACTGCTTGCTCCACGTGGCGTTATGTTTGTCTCGGTTTCTGCAGAGTTGACATGGTTCACCAACTTCTTCTGTTTCTTGCAGAATAAAATCGTCCATGGACAAAGTGTGCCTTGGTTACTACTGAAATTTTGCCTTCTTGCTGCTTTTCCAAGTGTGAGCCCCGTCCCAGAGATTGTGCGCTGATCAGAGGTGGATGGAGAGGGGCAGGCCTGGGCTGCACCAGGGCCTTTCCCGGGGCTTCTCGCCTCCCCCGCCTCCCTGGTCTGCAGGCCCCGGTGATGCTCTGAAAACTCCACGTGTGGTTGGTGCAGCTCCGCGTTGAGAAAGGACTATTTGCAAGAGGCCGTCTTGCCCTTGGTGTTAGGAAGTGAGAAGTTCTCCAGGGCTCTGTCGCCCGTGAAAGAACCTGTTGGAAGCTGGGGCCTCTCTAGTCTTCAGAATGATTATGTTGAAGGGCAACAGCAGCCCCAAGTGGAAAACCGTTTTTAGAAAATAATATAAGTTTTGATTGTTTTTATATTTTATTCCTCAATAATGGACAAGCCCTTAACAAATAAAGAGTGAAACTGAAGCTGAGTATGAATTTCAGGCCCTTGGCCTTGCAGTTTATACCCCTGGCTTCATCCCCCCCTCCAGCCACTCTGCGTCTGTCCTCCGCCCGCTCGGACTCTTCAGCTCCTGTGCCTTTGCTCCTTGCTCTTCCTCTTGCCCGGGAATGCCTTGCCCTCCACTGACAGTCCTCAGGGTGTATCTGCAAGTGCTGCTTCTCCCTCGAACCTTCTTCCTCCCCCCGTCCATCAAAAGTCCTCTCTCCTCTATCTGCAACTTCTTTGCCTCTCTTCCAGCAGGTGTCGGGTCTGGGGGTTATCTCAGCTCCTCCCGGGCAAAGGGTGCCTGACTTCATTTTCCTTTGCCCGGTGCCCCACACAGGGAGGTACTCACAGTGAGTTAAAGACGTCTAAGAGCAACACTACAGCCGTACGGTGGACTATTATGCAGCAGCGAAAAGGAACAGAGTACTGATAACATGCCACACATTAGGGCAAGTGGAAGAAGCCTGTCACAAAACACCACATATTGCATGATGCCGTTGATATTTATAGAACCAGAAAGTGGATGAGGGGTGCCCGGGCCTGGGAAGAGAGGAAATGAGAAAACAGTGACTGCTGTTGGGGAGGGGGATTCCTTCTGAGGTAATGAAAATGTTCTAGAATTGATTGTGGTGATGATTGTACAACTCTTGAATAGGCGGAAATTGAATTGTACACATTAAGTGGAAATTATGTGATTTGTTAATTATACTTCAATAAAGCAGTTTTAAAAAATAAGCCACATAGCGAGATGGCTGTTTGGATAGCTAGCTGGAGAGAAAACAAAGAGCAAAGGTAATGCCTACTGAACTTGTCACTCATGACCACCTGGCTTCATATTGTGAAACCTGTCTTACTTGACAGTGACTGATGCCTTTGAAGTTTGGAGTTAGGCACGGAAGATGGGATCCTGGCAAATAGGGTAATGGCTGCAAATTCGAGGGCGATACTTTGTTTCTAATGGGCCAATTTTTTTTAATCAGCACAAACATCCTTTCTCAGTAAGGTCCTCATAGGGCTAATCAGTGGCTTCGGGATAAAGAACTCTTACTGTCCTCGGGTTTGGGATGTTCTGGGTTCTGTGTAACAAATGCAGGACCATGGCGTGTGTGTATCACTAATGTTCAACATGGGCAACCCTCAGTGCTGGCTGATCTCCAAAGAAATGCAAAGACTGGAAAGTAGACTCTTTAAAGGGAGTATCTTAAAAGGCCTCAAGATCCAGGTGGTAGAAGGTCTGTTTTTTGAACTGTTAACTACCCTCTTGATCCTGCTTCTCCAGTTGTCCTGCCTGTAGAAAAAAAGTATACTTACCAGTTTAACAAATACAGAAACGTGAACGTTCATGGTTCTAAGGGGTAAAGCAGTCCGGCTGGTGTGGCTGTGGTTGAGCGTCGACCCAGGCACCAAGAAGTCAACGGTTCGATTCCCGGTCAGGACACACGCCCAGGTTGTGGGCCCGATCCCCAGTGGGGGGCATGCAGGAGGCAGCCAATCGATGTTCTCTCTCATGTATGTTTCTCTCTTCCTCTCTAAAATCAATAAAGGAAAACAAATTTTAAAAAATAATAAAGGGTAAAGCAGCTGTGTTTGATTTCTCAAATAAATGACAATTCCCTAAGCCGCATGCCTTGACTTTTCTCCTATGGCTCGTAGGCCCCCCGTAGAAACGTACGCTCCATCCCTTGTATTCAGCCGTTTCCGATGAGATTTCTAATCGGTGACCTTTCATGTGTCATGACGAGGACCAGCCGCCTTTTTCTCCTCATATCCAAAATGGACACACGCTGGCACGTGAGGTGCGTAGCGCAGACATTCAGAGCAAAGCGTGGCCATCCCTTTCCTTCCCGGCAACTGCAAGTACAGCCTGGTGTGCATCAGTCAAGTCCCCTTTTTACATGTTTACATACTTGTATACAAATTGTACTATTTTTTACCTTTTCATTATAAAATAAAACATCAGAAACCATATGAAACGAGTGTGTTATAAGATGAACATTGCAACTACCACGCAGGTCAAGAAATAGAGCTTGGCCCTGGCCAGTTTGGCTCAGCGGTTAGAGCGTCGGCCAGCGGTCCGGAGAGACCCGGGTTCGGTTCCCGCTAAGGGCGCGTACTTAGGTTGCAGTTTGTCCCCGGCCCTGGATGGTCGTGCGGGTGGCAGCCACTCGATGTGTCCCTTCACGTCGATGTTTCTCTCTCCCTTCCTCTCTCTCCCTCTCACTCTATCTGCGCAAAAAATGGAAAAATATCCTCGGGTGAGGATAAAAAAAAAAAAGAAATAGAGCTTGGCCCTGGCCTATTTTTCTCAGTGGTTAGAGCGTCGGTCCGGGGACCAGAGAGTCCTGGGTTTGATTCCCGCTAAGGGCACGTACCTTGGTTGCAGTTTGTCCCCGACCCCAGTTGGGGTTGTGTGGGTGGCAACCACTCGATGTGTCTCTCCCACATCGATGTTTCTCTCTCTTCCCCCTAAAACAAACAAACAAACCAAAAGCAACAACAACAACAACAACAAAGAAATAGAGCTTGACCAGCTGTCTTCGTCAAGATTCTCCAGAGAAACAACCAAAAGGATATCTATCCATGTACAGAGATTTATCTTAAGGAACGGGCTCACGTGATTGTGGAGACTTGGTAAGTCCAAACTGCAGGCTGGAGACCCAGGGAGGAGTCACAGTTCAAGTCCAAAGGCCACCTGCTGGTAGACTTCCGTCTTGGTCAGGGAGGACAGTCTGTATTCCCTTAAGACCTTCACTGATGGGATGGGGCCCACCCTCATTATGGAGGGCAATCTGCTTTACTCAAAGTCCACTGATGTAAATGTTAATATCCAAACACATCCTCACAACAACATCCAGAGTAAATATTTGACTAAATATCTGGGCACTGCCCCAGCCCAATTGACACACAAAATGCACCATCAGCACCAGCCCCCTCAGAAGCCCCTTTATGCTCCATCCCTGTCACAGCATCCCTCCCCCCAGAAGTAACCACTCTCTCTGTGTTCTTTGTGTTTTTTAAAAATATGTTTTTATTGATTTTTTAGAGAGAGAGGAAGGGATAGAGAGCTGAAACATGGATGTGAGAGAAACATCGATCGGTTGCCTCCAGCACGCCCCCCATTGGGGATCGAGCCTGAAACTGGGACCTCAGTCCATGGGATGACACTAAATCCACACTGGCTGGGCTATGGTTTTATTGCAAGTATGCATCCCTAGACACAAGTCTAGGCTAGTCTTGCTCACTTCAATGCACAGGTGCCCTCTTTCTTTGCCTTCCACCTTCGGTTGAAGAGCCCAGGCTGTCAGTCTGTGGAGTTTTCCAGTGTGGACTGTGCTGACTGCACACTCATCGTGCCTTCCAGTATGTGTTCCTGCCCCCGTGTGCCTTACCAGCCAGCAGCTGGAGCATCAGCCTGGGCAGACCTCGGTCTGGCCTTTCTGGTGCTGTGGCTGGCTTTGCTCCTTTGGGATGTTGGTAGTGGCTGATGTTCAGTGCACAGATCCATTCATTGAGGAATTAAACAAGTGAAATTCTAATTCTGTCATTTTCATGTATTAGCTGGAATAACTTTATAAGGAGTCACTCCCCTTCTCTGCTGTATCCACTGGTATAGCTCATGTAGGAAAGTCAGGAAAACCACTCAGTTTTGTCCTATTTACCAGGTGGTTGTTGGTTTTTTTAAATTGGTTCATTTTCCCCCCCAAAAGGTGATCCAATAAGTTTTCTAAATATTTTAAACGTATGGTTTAAACATATCTAATGGGTTTCAATTCATTGCACTTTATTGAAGCCCAAAGTGTCCCTTTTATGGCCAGTAGAATCTTCCAGGTTGATTCCCAAAGCCTTGTGACATGACCCTAGTAAACGTCGATATTTTCCTTCCTGTCTGGAATATCAAGATGAGCCATTCTTATCTTGTACATTTCCTGTCCCAAAGCTGGAATCAGCTATTTTCCCAAGAAGTCCTGGTTTCTTTTCATGAGAAATGGTATTTCAAGACAACAGTATGAGTGCTAGAATAGCTCACTGCTACTTGTTCGGACATTGTTTCTAGGTCTTTTCTGTGAACAGGCAGGGGAAATACTATATACATATATATGCGTGTACGTAAATTATGCATGTGATAAAAGATCTCATCAGTTCATATGGCTATTTCCAGTTCAAATTCAGGACTACTAGATTTTGTTTTATTTATTGATCCTTACCCAAGGATATTTTTCCATTGATTTTTTTAGATAGAATGGAAGGGAGGGAGGGAGAGAGGGAGGAGGGGAAGGGAAAAAAAGAGAGAGAGAGAGAGACATCGATGTGAGAAAGGCACATCAATTGGTTGCCTCCTGCATGACCCCAACCAGGGCCAGGGATCAAACTTGCAACCCAGGTATGTGCCCTTACTGGGAATCGAACCCAAGACCCTTTGGTCCATGGGCCGACACTCTAACCACTGAGCAAAACCAGCCAGGGCTGGACTTCTAGATTTTTTTTTAAATTCTCACCTGAGGACATTTTTCCATTTTTTGTTCAGATAGAGTGGGAGGGAGAGAGAGGAAGAGAGAGAGAGAGAAACATTGACATGAAAGGGATATATGGAGTGGCTGCCACCTGCATGACCAACCAGGGTCAGGGACAAATTGCAACTGAGGCACACACCCTCAGTGGGAAACGAACCCAGGTCTCTTCATACTGCAGGCCGATGCTCTAACTGCTGAGCCAAACTGGCCACGGCAGGACTTCTAGATTTTTAATTAACCTCATCTATATTGTATCTCCTTTCTTCCACATCAGAAATACTGGTTCTCAAGGACACAGGGTATGATACAATTAGAATATCTCCAAATAGTAACATGGATGCCATAATCAATGATTATAATTGCTGAATAAAGTTTCTATATATGCCATCCATATTCTACATTTTTTAAGTGGTTGGACCTATATCTATACTGTTAGATCACATAGCCATTGCAAACTACACTCTCTCTTTTTTAACATTCATTTAAATTTAGTTATATTAGTCACTATATATTTAATACCACTAGTTCTTATGCTGATGTTTCTTTAGTCTGTTATGGGTTCTGAAGTTTGTTCTCTAGAAGACTTTTTCAGGAAGAGTTCATGGGAACAATCTTGTGCTCTTGCATATTGATGTCAGTTTCCTTGTGTCTTTCATATTTGAATGGCAATTTTGCTGGGTATAAAATACATACTTGATTCACACTTTCCTTGAGTGTGAAAAACATTTAATATTAGAAAGATTTAAAAAATGTTTAATATTAGAAAGATTTTCTTACATTATCATTCTGCATTTGTCCCTTTCTCTCGCTTTGTTTTTTTTTTTTTTTCAGGGACTCATTAGCTACACATTCTATCTTCTTTGCCTTTTTTTTTTTTTTTTTTTTTTTTACTATTCATCACTCAAATCCTTTTTATCCCTTCATTTCTTTTTTAATAGACTTTATTTTTTAGAACACTTTTTAGATTTATAGAAACATTGTAAAGCTAGTACAGAGAGTTCTCATGTGCCCCAATCCAGTTTCCCCTATTAACATCTTAAAATTGTGTGATACATTAGTTACAATTGATGGAACAGCAGTGATACATTATTAGTAACTAAAGTTCATACTTCATTCAGCTTGCCTTAGTTTTTACCTAATTCCCCTTTTCTGTTCCAGGAGTCTATGTTACATTGTTTTCCCAGTCTCTTTCAGCTCCTCTTGGCTGTGATAATTTGAGTTTTCTTGTTTTTCATGGCCTTGACAGTTTTGAGGCGTATGGGTCTGGTATTTTGTAGAATGTCTTTAAATTGAGATTTGTCTGATGTTTTTCTCATGGTTAGACTGATGTTAAGGGTTCTGTTAGAAAGACCACAGAGATAAAGTGCCATTTTCATACACCATCAAGGGTACATACTTTCAAAATGACTTCTCACTGGCCACGTTGACCTTGATCACCTGGCTGAGGTAGTTTGTCAGATTTCTCCACTGTGAAGTCACTATTTCCCTCCCCTTTCCATGCATGTTGGAAGGAAGTCACTATGCACAGCCCACACCTAAGGAATGGGGGTCCAGCTACCCCTCTTTGAAAGAGGAGGATCTACAGCAAATATTTAGAATTTTTTGGCATGGGGGATTTGTCTTTCTCTGCATGGCTTATAATCCAACACTTTATTTTATTGCTCAAATTATTCCAGCTTTGGCCATTAGGAGCTCTTTTAGTTGATGCCTGTGTCCATTTGACATACTCCCCATTAATATGTTTTTTTTTTCTCAGCACTTCCTTACATTCTGTCACCGCAAGATGCTCCAGGCTTATCATGTATGTTTCCAACCCCAGTCCTAGAACCAGCCATCTCTCCAAGGAGCCCTGGTTCCTTTAACTGGAGAATTGTACTAGAAACCCAGGTCTGGG